CTCATCTTTAAGATAAGCTCCCTTCTTTCTGTGTAAACCCATCCAGAAACCATCCCAGGAAGGGATGAGGTTGTGCCTGAAAGGGATTCAGTGAGAGAAGTGGGGTCTGTGCCAGACCTGCCCTCCTACCTCCTTGCCTGCAGCTTCAAATGCCACTTTGGGGGGAAAAAGGGAGAGACAGACAGTATTTCACAAATGACAGTGTGCCTTTTTTCTCTCAAATCAGTTTTTCCTGTGTTTTCTCTCCTATCCAGCATGATGTCTCCAAGTCACAGCAGGTTCAGCACTACCTGGAACTGGTTTTAGGAGAGGGGAAACGGCAGCTGCATTTCCAGCTCTGCAGAGCAGCCACCATCGTGTGCAGGAGTCTGGGCCAGCCTGGCTCCAGCTGCTCCCCAGCACAAAATCCTGGCTCCCTCCCACCCTCCAGCAGCCTGTTTATTTACAGCAGAGCATTTCTTTCTAAAGATCTGGTCTCAGGGGGCAAAATCCCTTCTGTGTGTGAAACCAGTACTGACTAGCTCAGACATTGTCTTCTGGAGACTGCAGGCAGCCTGAAACAATAGGGATGTGCAGGGTGTCCTGATGCATTTCCATTTTTGGACCATGATAGATCTGAAACCTAATAGTAACAGCTCTAAAAATGGCCCACGGTAATTAGCTATTTGGGAATGGGTTTGGTATTCAGCCATCACACACAATTCTTAATGGCCTCACGTCTTCCTGCATACCAGAAGATTCATTTCACCCCTCAAAATTGGACAAAGCCTCCAGGTTCCCCTTGGAAACTTTCAGACACTAGCACGAGCTGGAGTATGGACATCAGCAGCACAATGGAAACACGCCCCAAAAGTCCTTGGCATTAGATGTAAGAAACGAACCAGGGAACGATTGTGTTGTGTTTCATGTATAACTCAGTCCAAATCTCCAGTTTTTAAAAAATGCAACCCACGCAGGCAGAATTCAGCACAGACCCTAGTTTTACCCGATATCGCTGGATTACAGACAACCGCTCCCCGTTTTTGGGGGTTTGCTGACACCTGGTGTTCTGGAAAAGAAGCTGTGAGTTCCGGCAAGTCCCTTCCCTTGTCTCCGCTGGGATCGCCGCTCTCCCAGGTCAGACTGATGTGTGGCTGGGAGGTAATCCTGAATTTGGAACCTCTAACCAGACCCTCAGAAGTGCTGGTTAGATTTCAACGGCATTTTTTAACATCTCAAGTCAAGAGCAGTGCTGCAACAGTATTTACACATCATGGTACAGATGTGCACTTCCTTACTTAAGGAATCAGGGGAACTGGAATGAAGAATCTCAGATCTCATCATAGAATAATTTGGGTTGGAAGGGACCTTTCAGATTATCACATTACAACCCCCTGCCACGAGCAAGGACACCTTCCACTAGACCAGGTTGTTCCAAGACCCATCCAACCTGGCCTTAAACATTTCCAGGGATGGAGCAACCACAGATTCACTGGGCAACCTGTGCCAGGGCCTCATCACCCTCACAGGGAAGAATTTCTTCCTCATATCTGATCTAACCCTGACCTCTGTCAGCTTGAAGGCATACCCCCCTGTCCTGTCACTCCATGTCCTTGTCCAAAGTTCCTCTCTAGCTCTCTGAGGTACTGGAAGGGGCTCTAAGGTCTCCCTGGAACCTTCTCCAGGCTGAACAACCCTGACTCTCTCAGCCTATCTCTGCAGCAGAGGTGCTCCAGTCCTTGGAGCATCTTCATGGCCTCCTCTGGACTCATTCCAGCAGGTCCACAGCCTTCTTATGCTGGGGGCCCCAGTGCTGGATACAGTGCTCCAGGTGGGGTCTCGGCAGAGAAGTGTAGAGGACCATAATTAGCACAGTGCAATGAAATAGTGCATTTCCTTGCAAGGGACAAGAATTATGTGATTCAAAGGCAAGAGATATCTCTACTGTGGCTGCTCTACCCAAGCCACTCATTTAGGGTTAGCATCAAGAGCCAGAAAACAAAACTGACTTGAGAAGTCAAGCACTCAAAGCAGAATTCTCCTTTTTCAGTTAAAGCACATTTTCCCACATCAAATAAAGGAGGAAAATGAGTAAGCAAGAAGGCACATATCACACCAATACAGAAGCACAATAAATTATCACAAAACCTGAACAAATTCAAATACAAGAGTGGGCAGTGTTAAGGAAACTCCTCTGTCCAACCATCAGGAGCCAGTCAGGCAGTCACTCTCTCACCACCTGAGCTGGGATTGAAGGCACTTCACAGCAACACACACCACTCTCACACAGTCACACCAGGTTTCCCATAGCAGAGTCTCAGACGACCAGATCCTTAAAAATAATTTAATCATGGTGCAAACTAAATAACAAAACAGCAGAATAATAGAGTAACAGCTAGAGTAGGTGCCTCGCTGAACAAAGATCTGTTTTCCCCCTCACAGATGTGCCTGCAGTAACAGCAGAATGCTCTGACTCTGGCTGCTATTGAAGATGACAAAACAGCCACCACAAAGTGCATGAAAAAGTCCAATTCCAGTACTTTCCTTCTTCATACAGAGTAAAAGTCATCCTCTGTTATTCTCACAGGTAGTACTTAGTCCTACTAAAATGATGCTTTTACAATGCAGGAAAAAATTAATTTACACTCACAGGATGGACTGAAACAGAACATGAATGCAAACCCCATCCAAACTCTTGTATTTCCAAAAGAAGTCCTGGGAGACCAGGGCTCAGCTGACCAACACGCTCACCTTGAGAGCTGTGATGAGCTAAACCATGAAGAGTGTCTACCTTGTAGATCACACTGTCTTTTTTGCTACTCTCATCCTCTGATGGGCACTGGGAAGATTTGCATCTGCAAACTGAAGCTGAAAATACAGGATGAAAGTAAAAGCCACATTGGGTAAAGCTTTTCCTAAATGCTTAGATCTGAGGTACTTGATCAATCACTTCATTGAATTATGGCCTGATAAGGAATTTCACTGCCTCTCTTTTCTCTGTTGTTTTTAAACACTTTTCAGAGTACAGTCTCTGCAAAACTTGTCCCACTTCTACACCACAACATCATTATCTCAGCCTGTAATGCTGATCTTAAAATAAGGACAGTGGCTCCCCCAGGAATAACCAGCACCAGCTGTCCATGTCCTTTGCTGGACCAGCATTTCCATCTCATTCCAGATGCCTGCCCTGCCCAAATCAGATTGGTTACTTCTCCCCAGGCAAACACTGCTGCAAACAGAATTCCATAAATAAATCCACCACAAGATTTAAATATTTACAGCACAAACTCATAAGAAAAACATTGTAACACTGGTTAATATGTAATGAGAACCATGTGGCCACACTCCTGCGACACAAGCTGGTGTTCCCTGCATGCAAGGGCAGCTGTAGAATGTCTCCTCCGCTGAGCAGCAAACTTGGTGTTTGGGATCTAGGCCCACAGGTTGAACATCCACTGCCCAGCGACACATATGCTTTGGGATTCAGGGGATAGTAGAGGTTTGAAGGATTTATCATGTGGACAATGTTTCAAGCTAAATGACCCCTCAGTTCTCCTGAAAGAGATTAATGCAACCAAGTCCTCAAAAACCACAAAGGTCTATAAAACAACATTTGAAAATATTCAGTAATGCACATTCCTCTCACAGAGAGCAGACAGTTTTCTCACAAATCATTTTACAAACTCAGTGCTTTAAAGTGTCTCATTGAAGTTTATGGTGCCATCAGCCTTTCCTTGTTATTACAGTATAATTATTGATCATTTTTGGACAATGACTTGAAATTTCAAATGTCCTGAAGTCTCTACTAGGAAACTGAAGCAATCTGGTATGAAAAGAAGGCTGATATGAAGAAAACAAAACCAAAAATTGCACCTTTTTGTTTAAACCCCTATTTCCCCCCCCAAGAGAAGCTGTGGATGTCCCATCCCTGGAAGTGTTCAAGAGCAGGTTGGATGGGTCTTGGAGCAACCTGGTCTAGTGGAAGGTGTCCCTGTCCTTGACAGGGGGGTTGGAACTAGATGGTATTTAAGGTCCCTTCCAACTCAATCTGTGATTCTATGTTTTTTTCCCTAAAATCACAGAGGAATTTCAGACACAGATGATTTTCAGCAGCCTGTTGAAGTGCATTTGTAACAGTGTCAGCAGTTTACACTTCTGTAAATAATTTCACATCCTCTCCCGGAGGATGTGTATTCTTTTATTGCAACACCCTATGGGTGTTGTTATCTTGATTAAAGATAATTAAATACTCTGCTGGCTTTCTCAACACTTGAGCAGATGCATCTCATCTTAGAATCAAGGAATCATAGAATCATTCAGGTTGGAAAAAACCCTCTAAGCTCATCAAGTCCAACCACCATGTTCACCACTGAACCATGTCCCCAAGTGCCACATCCATACATTTTTTTAACACTTCCAGGGATGATGACTCCAAATTCCCACAGCTTCAAGAAAACCTCATACCTGTTTTTTCGTGACCAGATGTGGGAGCTTCATTATGGCCTTTATGCTTTCCTGGTCTGTCATTCGCTGTCCCTCCCTCAAAATAAAGCTTAAATATGTAACTTTAACACAGCTGAGGTTTGGAGGGAGATGTGCAGTGCCCCTTTTTCACTAGTGCAATATACAAATAGATAGCAGCTACTGACACAAGCATTCTCATCACTGCTAACAACTTTCTGGAAAGTTATCCTCTTGAAAAGAGTTTCAGTGCTTTGACACCAAGAATATTGCCTGCTCAGTAGTGATTGTTTACAGTCTTTTCCTCTTCTGCACAATAAAAGCTCACAAGAAGCAAGCAAACCAAACCAAACAAACACACTCAAAAACCGACAAACCAAAAAAAAAAACAAACCAAAAAACCCCAAAGTGTTCACACTTGGTTCAGTGCAACAAAGGAAAACTTAATATTTACAGTTTTTAACTGTAGGAACTTTGCTTTCCTGGGTTCTTCGGTGCTTATTTTTTGAGGGCAGTGGGAGATGAAGAAGAACTCCTAGTCAGGCAAGGGCTCTTCTTTGCTAGTAGAAGGAGAAACAGAGTCTTGAGTCTTGGCTTGTCAAATTCTCAGCAAGGCCCTTGGGCACTGGATTGTCCCACAGCCTACAAGGACAGGAGTAGGTATGGTGAGCACAGAGGTGACATGCTGAGGACAGAGGAAGAGGGAGCTTTGGGTTTCCACCAAAGCAGGTCTGATGGTGAGACAGGAGTGATGTATGGCTGCATCTCAGTGACACAGCAGCAACCCAGCAGCTGCCTGTCTGCTGAAGGGACTCACTTACCTAGCCTGAGAGAGATTAAGGCTTTGGAAAGTCCTCAGGCCAATAGGATCTCAGAAAGCAGAAGAAGAACTAAGTCACATAGGAGCAACCTGATTTGCATCTTCACCTACCTCATTTGATGGAGTCTACCCCAAAGCTGCCCATCCTGGGCCACTACCATGGAAGCAGAGTGCCCCAAGGAGTCAAAGGGACAAGCTGAGCAAGAACATGGGGCGCCAAGCTCCAGCTTGGATCAGACACATTCCTCAGTGGCTCTGGGGATGCTCTCACTGTTGGGTCAGACAGAACCCATTTGGGGCCAAAGAGACAGCTCAGACAGGAGCAGACACTTGGCTCCAGGACCTGTTTTACCAGAATGTTACCAGAGGCACTTTCAGAAAAGTGACTTTTCAAATGAGCGAAGGATGAATGGGTCTCTCCTATGAGAGGTTTCTAGTGGAGCTTGATACACAGGATTTGGAAATGCAAAGACAAAGAGCACAAAAAAATCAGGTGTCAAAGTATTGGGAAGATATGTTTCCCAGGGTAGAGTGGGACAGGGCAGGAATATAACTTGGAAGTGAAACCAGAAGAAATGTGAGAAAAAAACCTTATAACAGAAAATGCAACAACTTGCTGATGGGAAAATTACACAACTGGGTCTTCATTTTTGACTCATTTAAAGCCAGGAAGTTTTTCAGTCCCTTTTCTCCAGGACTTTCTGAGGAGGTGGAGCTGACCTAGAAAACTCTCAGCTTACTTGGCTTGTGTCTGTGTTCCCTGCAATACCCTATTCCATGCCAGCTAACCCAGGGTAACAGGGGTCTGGATCACATCTGTCCCAAGATTGGCCACCCCAGCACCTCCTTGCTGAGCCAAGACCCAGCCATAAGCTCTGATACCTGCTCACCTTATCAACTGTATTTCTGGGCACTTGGCAAGTTCCTCGGCTAGCTTTGTGGCTCCACAGGCGCCAATGTGATTTTTCTCCAGGCTGTTTTAAAAACCAAAAGAGAGTTTTAAAATCCAAACCAAATCAAGAGCAGAAAATAGTTGAATAGTCACTGGCTCTTTCTGCCATCCCAGAAAAGCTACACAGCTACACTTTTGCCCAAGCACAGCAACGCCACACAACTCACATCAGCCTTGTGTTTAACACTGTGCCCCTATTCAGCAAGGAGTATGTGCACTGCTCCCTGTGACCTCCTTCTGGCAACAGGACCTGTAAGCAGATCTCTTGCTCTTGGAGCACTCTTAAGAGATCCCACAGCAAGCTTGGTGCCAAAAATGCTAGTAACAACTTCTCCTGCCTCAGACACAACCTTCCTGCTTGTGCCTGTAAAACAGCTCAGCTCTGTATGGAGTTTCCCTTTGCAAGACAAACTAACCTCGTTTCCTGACCCTATGACCCACCGACTAATATTTTCATGTAGCTGAGGGATGGAAGGTGTGTACCACGCACTCCAAAGGGCCAAGGGGAGGAAAGCTCCATGAACAGTTCTTGACCAGAAGATGACAGTCTCTCCCATCAACAGAGCTGGGTTGTGATGCCACCAGGCCAGGACATGAACTGGTGATATCAACCCCAGCTGCTGGGAGCTGCATCTGAGTTTTCTGTGAGCTCCTATGGCCCAACACCCACAATTTGTCGGCTCCATCCTGGGAATGGACTGCCTGCCTTGCTGCAAGCTTTACAAAGGCTCTCTGAGCATGGTACCCATCTAGACCATCTCAGACACTGAAGAGAAGTAAAAGCTTGCAGGAAGCAGCTCTCCCGAGGTCATTAGGTGATATGAGTCATGTTCCAGAAACACCAGCTTGTCTTCCCTCACTCAAACAGGAGGCGTTCACAGACCAGTGTCTGCTTAGACACCCATGCTGCATTCACCTTAAATAAAATAAGTGCTATTTCAAGAGTATCACCCAGGCAAGGCTGGCCCTTGGTGCATGGAGCAGGCTAAGCAAGAAGTTAAACTGCAGAAGTTTGTCTGTCTGTTGTTCCTAATGCATGTCCCTTTTTCAGAAGTCCTGTGATTGAAGGTTCAATGACAGAAAAACAAGTCTTGTTGCTCTCAGGGCTGTACTCACTCTAACATCTTGAGTTTATCCATCTCTGGGAGACCACTGGCCAACTCTTGGGCTCCTCCATCTCCAAGGGTGTTCCAAGACAGACTAAGGCAGACAAGAAAACACAAGGGGAACAGTGAGTCAGTGGATAGACACGAGAGCAACAGCAGTGCTGTGATAGTACCCTCTCTTAGATTAGCATGTTTACAAGAGCTAATTGCCCTCTTATCATGGCAGGCAAACAGTCCTCTGGATTATAAACTTAATTTTGAGGAATTTACTCCTTTTCACCACATATTGCCATGTATGATAAGACACCAGGGAGTGTCACCATCAAGCCTGCAGAGTGTGGTTATCTCAGAGCCCTGCAGGCTCAGGAAATGAGATGCAAAAGATAGAAATGACTGCTGAGGACACAGTTTTACCCCAAGGCCACTCCTCCTTGTAAATACTGGTGTTAAACCACTGCAGCAGCTAAGGTGCCTCTCTGCCTTGTTCTTACAGCTGCCTGTTGATTCTGAGCTCTTTCGAAGGATAGCTTGCAAGGCTTTTGAAGGACTAGGTTTTTCACTTGCTGACATATTAGCAAGTAGGAAAGTTCTTCAGATCCTTTCTTTGCTGCTGGCTGAGCAGCCTGGCCATTTCCCTCTCACCTGAAAAACAGGAACCTAGCATGGTTGGTCAGGTGGATGATCCTGAGGCCACCCCACACAGTCATGCCTCTGCCTAAGTCTGGGGAAGTCCAGAATGTCTGTATGGCATGTAGGTGCCAAAAACCAAACAATTTTTAGCAGTTTATTTAGTAAATTACCAGTAAATTTACCACTGAGAAGTATTTAGTGCAAAGTATCAAGAAGTATTTAGCATGATCAGAAGTGTGTGGCCATTGCAAATAGGAGCAGACATTAAAACGAGTGACCTGTGTGTTGAAGGCTCTTCCCTTCCATTCCCACACTCACATTATCTCCTCCATGGAAGGGCATTGTCGGAAGCCGTGACAAAGTGGTTTTGAAGCATCATCAGTGATTCCGCAGAATTTCAGGCTAAAGCAGCAGGGAGGGAAAAAAGAAAGAACATTGTGCTGGTGTCAGAACTGGTGTGGGATACAGCACCAGCACTGTCTGCTGTGCTCGTGCCCTGGCAGTGCTGCAAACAGCAGCCAACACTCTGCCCTGGCAGCCCTTGGTGCCCTGGTACTCACTCGATCTTCCGGAGGTGTTCCAAGCATGGCAGCCCCTGGGACAGGGCATGGATACTCTGTTCCCCAAGGTCATTTTCTGATAAACTGTGAGAGTAATGGAAAAGCTTTGAGTGGGTGCAGAAAAAGCAGGTACAGTCAGAGAAGAGTCATCATAAAAATATAACTGTGTGAACTAGCAAGTCAATAAGTAGTACCCAGACTAAGTGAGGACTCTATAGACAGCAGGGACAAGTCGTATCAGCACATAGCAACTCTAGGTCAATTCCCTGCTTGGTAATTCACAGCCTCAGGCCATGCAGCAGTGAATTGCTTGCAGACAGTAACCAGTGGCTAAGAAGGACAGAGCTGCAGCACATCATGAGTTGAATGTGAAACTGGAGGGAAAAAAAAGTTATACTGGAGTTAATGACTGGTATGACTTGAAAGGAAATGATGGTAAGGGAGAGCAGGAAGAAGACATGGGTCTCAAAACTCAGGGGGAGCAGTAACTGGCTCCCAACCTTACCAGGCTGTGCTGCTCTAGAGTTCTCATCTACAGAATCACAGAATATTCAGTGTTGGAAGGGACCCATGAGGATCATCGAGTCCAACTCCTGGCCCTGCACAGGACAGCCTCAGAATCTCACCCTGTGCCTGAGAGCACTGTCCAAATGCTCATTGAGCTCTGTCAGGCTTGTGGCCATGGGAGATGTTCCTGTGCCCAAACCAGCAAACACAGCCTGTGGCAATCTCTCCTCTACACTAACATCTCTCACACCATAATTACCAACACCCTAATTCAACTTGTTATTTAACAATAAACACACAGCAAAGAATGGTGACATCAAGGATGCAGTAGGAAGAGTTAATTCTCATCACCTCCATTCTTCCAGTTCCATGTTTAGAAATTTTACCACTCCCCAGGCTACTGCAAACAGTATTTCCAAGGCACATGGTTGCACAAAGCCCAGCAAAGAGCACTGGCAGGCAGGCTTTAACATCTGAGGTGATCAAAGCTGCCCCATGCAGTGCATTGCAGTGACTTTTAGAGAGTGTCGCCTGTCACCCTACAAAGGTTTGTAGGACAGGTAGCGTGACTGCCTTCTGCAGAGGCATCTGAGCATGGAAAGAGCCTGCATGACAGCCTCAGGCCTGTGAGCAGAAATGATTCCCACCTGCAGATACCAGTCCATTCTTAGCCTGGAGAAGAGAAAGCTCCAGGGAGAACTTAGAGCCCCTTCCAGTACCTAATGGGGCTACAAGGGAGCTGGAGAGGGACTTTGAACAAGGGTATGGAGGGACAGGACAAGGGGGAATAGTTTCAAATATCATATTAGATATTAGGAAGAAATTCTTCCCTGTGGGGTTGGTGAGGCACTGGCACAGGTTTCCCAGAGAAACTGTGGTTGCCCCATCCCTGGAAGTGTTAAGAGGCCAGGTCAGATGGGTCTTGGAGCAACCTGGTCTAGTGAAAGATGTCCCTGGCCATGGCAGGGGGTTGGAACAAGATGATCTTTGAAGGTCCCTTCCAACTCAAACCATTCTGTCATTCTATGATGTGTTTGGCACCATCCCAAGTGCACCTGCCATGACCTACCTTATCTCTTCTAGCAGCCCACACACCACCAGGGCTCTGGCCAGCTCCAGCCCTCCTTCCTGCCTGATGTTATTGTTCTGCAAGCTAACAAAAGAAACATAAGCATTGGAGGATTATTTGGAATAAAGCTGTAACAAAAGCTCACATTTAACTTGCCAAGAAGAAAACTGCTAAATCTTTTGACCCAGCATCTAGTGTTGGTAACAACCAGGGATCCCTGTGGATTAATGGAGGGGCCTGGAAAACAGGGAGACAACAGTGGGGGATCAAAGCACAGCCAGGCAGTCACCACAAACACAAAGGCACGGCTCTGCCAGGAGTCTGTCTCCAGCTCTGTGCACAGGGGATTGGTTTGAGATGGGTGAGGAGCACTCTTACGAACAAGGAGCAGATGGGAATCTCATGTCTGCAGATTTTTCAACACCATTCTTGCAAAGATAAGAAACCTACCCAGAGAACTAAAGGCTCCCACTACTGTGATTCCTTTCCTAAGTTATATTTGATGACATCTTAGACAGAGACACCTTCCAGACATAGGCTGGAAGAGACAGCTGCAGGCTAAGTGAGCCCAGTGAGCTCTTCTAGCTCACCAGTTTCTGGCTTTGTTACTGTAAAACAGTATGAGAAAGTCCTATGTGTTAGAGCCCTGGAAAGATTCCCACAAAAGGTTTAAAAATATAATACCATGAGGTTCAGGGGAAAAAATTACTCAGAGGTGCCTGTACAAAACAGTGAGGGACCATAAAAGGTGCTCATCTTTATGCTTCATTCCACCAGAATGAAAGAACAGCAAGAGGCATCAGAAACTAACATACTCAAGAACAATTTTAAGGCTTATTTTACTGTATATACAATGCCTGGTTCATCTCTAAAGCTAATGCTGCAAGAGATGACTTTTACAGCACAGTAATTGTGTAGGGTGTCTCAGTCCTAGAACACTTCAAATACTGTCAATACAAGAGACCAGTGCACCACCACAGTCTATGTCTTTTCCCATCCTTGATCCATGATCCCACAAATTCCCCAGAATATCCAGCCTTCCTGGGGCAGAGGCACTTACTGCAAGATCTTCAGATTGGTCATGTGAGGCAGACAGAGGGCAAGTTTCAGTGCTGTCCTGCCTCCAAAACCATTCCTTGATAATCTGGAAGAAGCAGAAATGAAATGTTACTGGCAGTGAGCCACAGAGCCTCATTGCTCACCTAAGTGCCACCCACACATGTGACCCACATTCCTCACCCACATGTGCATGGGGCTATGCTGAAAGGAGTGTACATGATTCGAAGGACATAGAGGGTGGGAGGAAGGAACAATGAGGTTTTGTAGTCCTGCAGCAGGAGTTAAACAGGGAAGTAAAACTGCCTTGCACTTCTCAGGAGCACACTGATCTCCCTTTCTGAGCTGTCCTGAGCTGGAATTGAACTGAAATTGCACTTCTTAATATGTGCCCTTACTGCACACATTGCAATATTAAGGTGACATAGACAGTTCCAGCATTTTAACTAACTTTTTCTGCTTTGCTATTTTTCATTTTCTTTACTGAATATGACAGGGCTGGCCCAGAATGTCAATATATCTGGCTGAGTAAAGCCTCTGATTGTCCCTTCCTTCCCTCCATTGCTGCAGCCACACAGACTGATGCTGATTTCTTAGGCAGTACAGGTACTGCACAGCCCATGTACCTGTGACACTGCCTGTTAAACCTCAGATTTAGCTCTTCCCCACTAATACAGACTGTATAGTCCTCGGAAATCTTTGAGAGATTCCAGCAGATGACCAGTCTCCAAACCTCCCACACCCAGCAATACCCATTCCTGTGTAGCTGAGAGTTTTTACCCTGCTCTCATAAGAATCAGTGGTAACACTGATCTTGGCTTTACTGGAGCCATATCAGATTTGGTTTCTGTGCCCTGATTTTGCCAAGCTCCCTGAAGGCACATTGGAAATTACACACTTACAGTAACTCTTCGATGTGCTTGCAATGAGCAAGAGCTTCCATCAGCTTTTCCCCTCCAGCAGGACTAGGACAGTTCCCTGAAAGGCTAAAATAAGCATAACACTCTGTGACTAAACAAGAACCAGAATGTAGCAGCTTAAGATATTTCACTCTTTGCCTGGTGCACTGAGACACTTGGGTCACTGCAACAATGGCTACACAGGTCTCTGGGAAATGGTCTGGAGATTTTTGACTTGCTTAGTAACTCCTGGCCCTGCAGGTACTGGGGGGAAGGAGCGGTTTCCCTCTCCCAGACAAAACCGTGACTTTGTTTTTCTTGTTTCAAGTAATTTCCAGGTTTTTAATTTCAAAAAACATACAAGACATACCCCAGAGCTGAGCCTAGCAAAGAGCCTGGATGCTCTAATTTCAGTTCTCTTGGAGAAGGGACAGTTTGAACCCATGTCTCACAGAGCCTTGTCTAGACACTGTGTCGTGGCTTTGACAAATTCTCAATTTCACCTCTACTTCCACAAGTGACATAAAGCAGTGTCACAACACTGGTGGCCACCACACTGGGAACCCTAGGAAAGGTGCTGCCTGGGTATGAGACTTGGATGATTCCCTACAAACATGCAGATTTGCTTTCCAGGACACAACTGAGTCAGAGATCTCTCCGTTTGAACAGCTGGTGAGGGCTGGCAAACAGCTCCCACTGTCTCTGGGGGTGGCTGCACACGGCCATAACCTTCACCCTCAGGGAGTCTCTGCTCTGCAGAGGAAGTCACGGCCAGTCCCAGCTGTACATGTGAAGGGCAGGAGAGGGAATGCCTTCCATTGGTTTGGTGGATTTTGTACCAGGTCTTCAATGACATTTCTGGAAGGTGGAACATTGTCCAAGAGAAGGCAGCACAGAGATTCCCACACAGGCTTCCCCACCAACTATGGCCATGACCAAAACAACTGCAACAACACAAAGGGACTCACTCAATTTTCTTCAGGTTTGACATTTCCAGCAGGACAGCAGCTAGATTTACCAGGCCTGGATCTCCAATGTTGTTGTTGCTTAAACTTTAAAGCAGAGAAGAAAGGCTGTGTTGCAAAGGAAGATGCAAAGCACCAGGCAACGTATGAGGTCTTATTTAATGTGTCCCATCTGCTGGATGACACCTCAGACCTTGCCAGCAGAATCAAAGAGATGTTTGTCTTGACTGTCTCACGAAAGATTAATAGGTGTTAATGAGGTATTAAAAATAATGCAAACAATCAAAGTCAATGGATCTTGTTAATGGGCGGGATATTACTTCAGCTAGATACCAAGATAAACAACAAGTGGTTATTATTTTCCAAACTGCTGCAGTGGAGAATGTATAGCATCTGTTTAGGGAGATAAGGAAAAAGCAGAGGAAGCCTGGAGTATGCTCCACATTCAGATCTTTTCAGACTGAACAAGTGCTAGGTCTGGCCCATTCTGGATCCCAGGGATTTCAGAGGAGGTTTGAAATCCAGAGGCTGTTTAATCACTAGCAAAGTGGGGTTAGACCAAATTCTCCTCTTCTGGACATCAAGTTCTGATTTCCTCCAGTCCAAGGTACCTCATCCATGAGCATTTTGCAACCTCACTGCCTTTGTTACAACATTGTGTATAAACACATCTGGGTCTCTTCAAATGTTGGCACTAGTGCTCACCTTGCTGCAGAAACTTACTTGATTTCCTCCAAGTAGTGCATATTCCTCAAGGCTTCTGCAAGTCTGGAGCAACCATCATTGCCAATACTGTTGTGGTTCAAGCTGGAAACAACATCCCCAGGAAAATGGACATCAAGCTTCTATTACTCAGCATCCCAAGCCAGGTTTGGGGCAAACTGCAGTCACACACTTACATCAGCCTTCTCAGAGATGGCATTGCACGAAGTCCCAGCACAAGCTTAGGAATGGCAGCACTGGTGAGTTTCATGTAGCCTAGGCTAAAAGATGAAATAACACAGGGACAACTAACTACCCATGATGGTGTGAACACTCGTTGCAGAGGACAGCAGAACAAGGGGGAGAGTCTCGTTAAAGTATGTTTTAGTCCCTGTAAATAATCATCAATTTTATCCTCTAAAGCAATTCTAATGGACGTGTCTTGATCCTGATAAGATGCCAAGAGAATCCCGAACCTCTTGCTCCAGGGGCTGGAGCAAGAATCCAGCCCCTCACGGAGCAAGGTGCCACTGTGACCACAAGATGGCAAAGCTCTCATGACAGTGACACACACGGTGCAGTGGCACCTGATCACAGAAGGATGTCTTACATGCAGGTACCTGGAAAAGCCATCTATCTCTGTGTGAAGGCTACACAGGCATCCTCCAGGAGTGAAATGCTGGCTCTGGAATTACTGCACGGGAAGTACTTCCTCCCAGCTGGGACAAGATCCATGCAAAAAACCACTACCAGAGCATCTGATTTCTCCACTGGAATTCCCTGCCACAGACTACTGATCTCTGTCTCTCTCACTCACTGTTCATTGCAAATAAAAAGGAATTGTTCCCTCTTCCCTATCTGAAGTCCTCCAGACATCAGGAAAAGTGCCTCTGTCCACAGTACAGGCATAAGAGAGGCTGCAGTTTAACTAAAGCTTCTAGAAAGACCTAGCAGACTCCAGATAGTCTGGTAAAAACACACTCACTTGAGCTCTTCAATGGCCTGGCAATTCTGCAAGCCTGTGATCAAATAGTCAATTCCAGTTGATGCAATACTGCTAGAGGTCAGCCTGCAAAGTAAGACCAAACGAAATAAAGATCAAAGAAGATTAGGTCTCAGCCCCCTGAGAAAGAGGCATTTACTCCACTGACAGGCAAACCACCCCATCCAGCACAGACCTCAGGGACCACACCTTGCATATGCAAGATTACAGAGATGTTCACATCATGTACTGTACCAGGCAGCACAGTCTCTGCCTGGGCCAAACAGCCCTCAGCATTTCACTGGCCAAAGATGCCCTTTACAAGCCTTAAAGGTAGTTGAAGAGGTCTGTGAGAAGTCTGCTCATACCAGAAAAGGCTCTTTTACACAGCAGGGTGGTATAAATTTGCCTACAATATAAACAAGAGCCAAGGTCTCAGTCTCAAATTGCTTTCACTTCAAAAAAGGGGAGAGGGAAAACCTCAGGACACATACACAGTGTTCCTATAACTACCTTTAGCATGAACTGCAGAGAAGTGTGGAGTTTGCAGCCTAGACATGGCTCAGGAGAGATCCCAGAGCTCAGGGATGTTCCAGACATGGAGTGTTCAGAGTGGATTGGTGTGAGGCACAGGGTTGAGCCAATAATAAATATGTGAAAAAGGCCACAGGTGGGGACATACCCAAACATTTTCAGCTCTGGAAGAGGTAGCAAAATCCTGACTAGCATTTCTGCTTCATCCTCTTGGAGTTCCACATGAGACCATCTGCAAGAACAGAAAAACAGGTCTGGGCTGTGTCCACTGGTGACAAAAGGTCTGTGCCAAGCCCACAGCTAAAGCACACCAGCACTGGGACAGTGGGGAAGTGGCACAACATGGATACTTGGCAAGGTCCTGTGGGAACTCCCAGCCATGATAAGAGAATACAGGTTATCTGGACACATGGAGATTTACATGACTTCAAAGGATATGCCAGGAAGCCACCAGGTCTATGGGTCTTTTCTATTTTCCATCCAAACACTCTAAGTAGAGGACCCAGAGGGCAGGGACTGGGACCTTGCACTGGCCTCTCCAGTGCCTTGCTCTGTGCTCTCCTGCACACACTAGGGCAAGCTACCCCCTCCCAGAAAAATCCTTTACAATGCTCGTCATCTCACCTCAATTCCTGGAGTTGAGCACATTTTTCACAAACCCTTTGGTAGAAGCAGGAAT